CATATGTTCATGAACATACACACATCATCTTACCTGTTCTCATTCTCTTACCTACTCTCATCTCGACTCTCACATAGACACACTAAGAACTGCTTAAATGCTTGCTATTCAGAGTATAGTCCATGAAGCAGCATCAACAGTCTATTAGGAAGACAGGTTTTCTGGTCCGTTCCAGATCTACCAAATCAGAGGCTACATTCTTAAATCAGCAGGACACATGGTTGCACACTAACATCCAAGAAACACAGATGTGTCTATAACTCCTTCACAGCTCAAAGGACATCTCAGAAGAGAGGGTATGGAGAAAAGAATGGGTCCTACGGACATATGCCTTCTAGATAAGACATGGATGCTACACTAACGAACTTAAGTGATTACCTGCACATCATCTACATCTGGAGTAGACCAGAAAACCTGTCTTCCTAATAGCAGGCTTCTACTTTTCTTCTGTGTGTGTGTGTGTGTGTGTGTGTGTTTGTAAGATAAATTAAATATATTTTGTTTGTATAATGAATTATATAGATGTGTGTATAATGACATATGTGTGCATCATAAGTTATATATGTGTATTTATAGCAAATATTTCTGTAATGAATTATATACGAGTGCATACGTATATATAATAAATGTGTGTATAATGAATTATATATGTGTGTAATGAATTATATGTATGTGTATATAACAAATTATATATGTATATATTGAATTGTATTTGTGTGTATAATGAATTATATATAGGTGTGTATAATGAGTTGTATATATGTGTATGTATGTATGTATGTATGTATGTGTATAATAAATTGTGTATGTGTATTCAGCAAGCACAGTTGTAGGTGTTTTCCACACTGACTACTGCTTGTCACTGATTTACTATGAACACTGGATCTATACTTCCAAAAATATGCAAACATTTTATTTCCCCACTTGACTGCTAAGTGGTTTCCCAAGTTCCATTTGAAGGAAGTTCAAGGCTCTTGTAGATGCTGGACTGTGTATAACATCATTGTCTTATGTTGTCTCTATTACTGTGATAAGCACCATGGGGAAGATAGCACTATTTGTGTCACATTGACAGAAACTAGTCACCACAATCCTCTGTGCTGGTCTATGTAACCTCACTTTGTCACCCTCTTCAGTCACGGAATGTCATTTGGGTGTCCAAACCTCCTTTATGTTCACCAAATCCCAACACTCCCTGCTTCTCTTTCTGCTTTCCCTCACCTGTACCTAGATGATAATGCCACCACTCAGTGCCACGATCACCTCCCTGTCAGTCAGTCATTGCTCTCTGTTACTGGCCCATAGTGGAGAGCCTAGAGAAGCCAGAGCAAGCTGTTTCAATGTTTAGGACTGACCTCCACTTCTCCTTTACCTGCCTGACCCTACCTCCTCCCTTTGGCTCAGACCCTCATTTGCTTCTCTTTCTCTATCTGTCACTGAGTAACAGAAAATGATGTCTTTATCACTACTATCAACTTTAGAAACAAGTCACTAGTCATTGCCCCTGAATCACTCCCAAGCTAGAGGACAATTGCCTGAATTTAACCTGATGCTCCTTGGCCAGGGTTCTCTTCCATTCTACAGGTAGACAAAAGGCTTCACTGACATAAGTCAGCTGTTTTCCAGTCTAAGTTTAATACCTACATGGAATCATGGGTCAGAGGCTTCTCAGCAGGCAGTTCTTGTATAAAACCTTTACCATCTCCCTGACCATAAGAATGTCACCAGGCTGACAAGATGGGTTTTCAGGAGTGACAAAACTTTGCATTTTAAATATTATGGCCCACCTTTCTTACTCCAAGAGGACAAATACAAAAATCATTGTATTTTCACATACCAAGTTTACATTAACAATGACAAAATAAGGCATATCATTTATCTATCTGCTACAGACTATTTCGAGCAGACAGAAGCCTCAAAGAGCTGGCATTTGAATGCCAGGATGCCATGTGACTGATATCTATTGCCTTTATCTGGATTGTTGTTTCATATGAGAAGTCAAAGATGTGGGCACATCCATAGATACAGAGCCCTTGGTAGATGACCTCAGAGGCTGTGATTTCTCTCTTCCATGTTCATGTTAAAAGTAACATAGCCCTATATCTTACATTTCAAAGCTGCATTTCTACATTAAAAGAGATAATTGAGATGGAAGGAAAGGCTATGGGAGCAGGGATCTGAGTGCTAATGAATGCAAGTCCACAAACGTCTTCTCAGCGAGCGCTAGAGGTCACAGAGGTTGATGAGGAGAACTTCGTGCATAGCGACTTGTTCCGAATGTTTAGCTAATAATTTACAGAGTTTGGCCAACAATTTAGAAAGCTGTTATGTCATTACCTAATTATCCAGAAATCATCTCTCACACGGGAAAGGTGAGAGGTGCTTGCTTACATATCTGTGAATACATAACTGAAGGGCCCTGTGTCTTCTTAAACCAAAGTTGTGTGTAACATACACGTCACGTGTACATTTCCAATACCTTATATCAAAGTGTTAGATTGTGATATCTGTGAATGTAAAAACAGCATCAAAGCCTCATTTTCTCATCTCTGGAGGAACAGGAAAAAAAAAAAGGATTGGGAACCAAAACAACAAAACTAATGCCAAAAATAGAAATGGAACATATTGAAGCTGAACATACAAATTAAGATAAGAACACAAAAGCATCCATAATGCATGCCACCAGATATTTACAGGAATGACGTGGGGTGAGAACACCAGGAGGAGGCAAGCACTGCCCTTATGGTAACAAACAGCTCCAGGAAGCCTCAGGAAACCCACTTCCCTTTGACCCAAGGCATGAGAGAAAGACTGCTGGCTGACTTGCTTCTAAAATGTAAGTGATGGAGATGATCCCTAAGTCCTTCCAGCTCTAGCACGCTGGGTACTTTCATTTAAAGTCTCATGCACCTAAGGAGACAAGCACACAAAGATGCTCAGGAAAACATCTGTTGAATTAATGAAATAGGAAAACTTTTCTAGCTAGAAAAGAGACTTTACAACAACTGGCCTTAGTGTGTGGCCTATAAAGAACAAATCTTGGGAACGGGGGAGGATAACATTATCTAAATAGCTACCGGTCTGCCATTCCTGATAGCTTATTGCTGTTGGAAGTATGATGCTGGGGAGTAATTTCATTTCAGATAAAACTAGCTGTGTGACCTCAGACAAACTACTCTGCCTCACAGGGACCAGTTTCCTCATCGCTGAAATTAAGGTGCATTCAAGCTATATATAGCTAACATTTTTGAAACCTTTATTCTCAGTAATTGTTCTGAAATATCTTTGCACTGGACTTAAGTAATCTCAAAAGGTTTTGTAACACTAGCATTTAGTGTCTAATTACAGAAGCACCATTGTGTAACTGAAAGGTTTTGTATTCTGTAGTCTCATAGGCCAGAGTCTCTGAGTTCTGTGAGGTAGGGTCTTTTGCTAGACAGAGACTCTCAAACAGAAGGTGCTACAATTTCATTACTTCTATTACCCAGGTGGCTTAACTTTTAAAAGTTACTTAACTTTCCTAACTTTCTTCCCCTGATCAGTTTGACGAGTAGAAAAAAATTGGTTATCTCTACTATATTGCTTTAAAGGAGATTAAATTAGAACTGAATCTAATATGCAATAAAATAGCCCAATTTTAATACGGCTGTGAAACCATGAACAGCCTTCTTTTCAAGCTTTTTATTATGGGAGCTACAGAATGATTTGGAGACCATGTAAACACGCTTTAACAAAAAAACTCATATTCAATACTTTGAATAGCATTAGCAACCAGAAAAAAAAAAAAAGAGGTGCGGGAAATCTTTACTAAACATTTTCTCTTACTCTTAGCATAATTAAGCAGGTGGACAAAGAAGGCAGCCAAGAAGGCAGGGCATGTGGGAGTCGTAGTTCTAAGGGAAGGGGGGTTACCTCCCGGGGACCCTTGTAGTGAGACTTCAGTTCCCAGAAGACATCTCGTCGGGCCAAATGGCACATTGGTAGCTGAAGAACCAGGCTGGTTATGCAATAGGCGGGACTACATATCCCAGAACCCTCCGCAGTCAAGGTCCTGAGCCTTAAAATGGAGCCTGAAAAAGGAGCTTTCAGGTACAATCAGCTTAAGCACAAGTGCTCTTAGGGCTGCCCTTAGCAGAACAGGCCTATCCCAAATTAGTGTTGCTCTAAAACAACCGCTGGATATTTTCAGCACATTTCTGAGACCGAAAATAAGCAGTTTTCAAATGACAAACTTTCGGGAGCCTGGCCTCAGTGTTGATTACAGCTGCAAACAGCTTCTCTGGTCCACTAGAGCAGGGAGCGTTAGGCTGGTTTTTATCCACGTGAGGACCGCTGAGCTGGGGTCGTATGGCAGAAGCAAAGGTGGCCTAAGTTCCAGGAACCTGCCTCCTTTCTTCCACAATCGGTTACAGCTTTCAATCCCCGAGTGTAAAACTAAAATTAAAAACCACGAAGGCACAGGGTCCAACCAGTGACGACTTCTTGCACCACAGTGAATTGATGTGGTTTTTTTTTTTTTATTTTTCTTTATTGTAAGGTTTAAACTTATCAAAATGCAAATTCTTTCCCAAAAACATTGTCCTCCGTGAGCCCTGTTCTACAGCTGCCTTACTACCTGTTCAAACCTTTTGGGATACCTTAAGCGAGGTGTCTGTTTAACACAGACCTGGTTTGGGTCAGGAGTTCCAGCCATTTGTCTATGGAAGTAATGAGCTATTCAAAAGTAGCCACAATGGGACCTGTGGACCTGCTGTCGCGACCCGGTGCCTCAGTTTACCCCGAGGGGCGGGCTGAAGCTAGGACGTGTGCTCGAGAGCTGGGGCGCCTGGGTCCATCCCGAGAAGTCTCGTCAGGTGGGCAAGTCCTCCTGACAGACGGCCACCATCAGGCGAGCGGTGCTGGCCTGTCCCCGCCCCGCGGGGGCACTGACCAGACGCGCATGGAAACCCAGCCCGCGCCCCACATTCTGCTCCACTTGGGCTTGGCTCCCGCGCCCCTACCTTCCAAGATCTTGGCGGCTGGAATGAAAGGCAAGAGGGCGGGAGCGCGGGACAGGAGTGCCGCCTGAGCTTGTCCCCACTGGGGTGGACCTGGGAGCTGACTGGAAAAGTCCTACCGCAGGCCCAAACCGGACGAACTACAATCCCCACAGCAACCTGCGGTAAGGGGCGGGAGCCAAGATGGCTTCTCATCTGGAGACAATCGCAGGAGCCAATAGGCGAAGAGCACTAGACTACGCTGTACCAATCATAAGCCAAATGACAGTAACACCAATTCTTAGAGTACCTAAGGTAAGTCTCCCCTTTGAAAGGTTTGTCATAAATAACACAATCTTTAGCTGTTAACAAATGGAAAAAGAAACATGACTGTTTTTCTCTTAAAATGAAAGCCTGCTCAGTACGTTTCCTTGCTTTCATCCGAAAAGAGCTAACTGCTGCACTTGCTTTCCCTTCTCCTGCATCTTCTTGATTAAGACTTTTGTATTTTTCCCAGAACACGTCCCCAAAGTCCCTACTTAATCCAGGATATGACTACCCTTGACCTCCCCTGACATCCTAACAAAATCCCATCACAATCTTTCTGTGCCTTCTTTCTGCCTTTATCCTCTGCCTTTGTAATAGTTTTCAAGTAGGCTCTTGGAACAAATCAATGCAAGTTGTTTATTTGTGTTTTTTATTGTCTTACTGTTCCACTGGGATACAAGACCTTGCAGAAGTAGATTTTTATTTGGCTACAGTATTTTTTACACCGAGGGAGGGTGAAACAAGGAGGCAAACATAGTAAATAAGTTTTGAATAATTGAATGATAACTAGAGATGACCTTCCTCTGTTCTTCCTATCTCATGCATATCAATTAAACTCATCTTTTATCACCAAGGGTCTTTTATGCTTGCTCTTTTTCATTTTAATTCCAAATCATTTCCTCAATATATTCCATACCAGATGCCATGTGAATGCTGGAAAAAAAAATCGTTGTCTTCGCCAGTTCTGAACTTAAACATGTTCTGGGTTTAGTAATGTTTGAGGGAAAATAAAACACACAATTTTAACAAAAAAAAAATGCAGTTGCAAATTGTAGAGCACTGTAACAATTGTCACATGATCGTGCAGATTAGTGGGGCTATATGACCACACATTGCCCTTTCTTCTTAGATATGTCCCACTCCTTTTTCTTTCTTTCTTTCAATAATCTGAGTACAAGGAAAAAAAGGTATTTGCTAGTCATTAATGTTTTGAAAGTGAATCAATGAGCAGTAATGCTTGAACAAACTCTAAAATATCTACAGCCCAGCATTCTTTCCCCCTTGCTTTTCTTTCCTTACATGTGGGGAACTGCAGTAAGTCTCAGATCTCTCATCCTTTCTGAAGTTGAACCCCATAAAGAGTAGCAAAGTGAACACAGCATCCTGTTAAAATATCCTGATGTCTTTGCAACCTTGACTCTCAGAGAATGTCACACTGGATTATGGTCAAATTATGCCTACAACACTAAGACACTAAGAGAATTGTGAATTAGGATGAAATTGAAAAGAATTACAGTTAAAATAGCAAGAATGCAGGTCAATATGTATACAGACTAATTTTGTGCATAGGGATTAAAGCCCCCTCCAGGCTTCCAAAAATCTGATTCTGTCAGTTTGGGGTTATTTTGCATAGTATAGTTCTTTGTAACTTTCATGAGCATAGAGTTGGCTTACCAGTTCCAGCATTTTGTCAAGCTGATTAGCATGAGCAATTTTACCACATGTGTCTACTGTGCAGAACAGTGCGAAAGTAAACATGGAATGAAGTCACTGGGCCATATGACGTGGAAAATATCAACACTTAAACCCCTCCTGAGGTAGTATCAACTATAGTCATTACATTTCCTACTTAGAGATGACTGTGAATATATTTAATATAGTTATACTCATGATGGTTATAGCATTGGCAGACAGCATAATATTAGCACAGTGATATGAAAATAAGCATTCAGCTGTGGATGTTTCTGGGTTAAAAGTCAGCTCTGACCATCAGCAATACATACATCTGTAAAGAACACTTAAGACAAGGCACTGGCCTTGGATCCCAAACTTCTAAGTACAAAGACAATCAACTGAAAGGTTACAATCTAATCTGCAAACTGACTGAATAATCACTAGAGTTTGGGTTTTTCCAAAAGCTGGTCCTGAGGCAGATATTCAACATAGAGTTGCTTATTGCACAGACAATTACAGGAAACACCACAAAAAGAATGGGAAAGTAAAATAGGGAAGGGAAAGACATGAAAAAACCAAAACGAACAAAATGAAACAAGTGCCCTGTCCACCATGTTACTTGTAGTAACAACTGTAGCTCAGTCCTCCTGGGGAATCTCGGAAAGCAATATTTAGTTGAGTTGTCTAACCAGGGAAGCTAAAGACCTGGGCTGTTGACATACTAATTCCCATCAGTCTGTCAGGGCTGCTTTGTGGGGAGGGGTTGCTGGGGTGGGGGTAAGTTCTGAGTTGTCAGGCATGCATATGAGTAGACAGAGTAGCCTCAGTGGACACAGACATTAGAAATAGAAGCCATACCATTGGAAGTAAGAGGACAGGGCACCAAAAGAGATCTGCTTACAACCATATCATGAAGACTAATAAAGTAAAAATAGTTCCAAAATGAATTAGATAGGTACCAAGTAGTGTGTGCATGCGTCTTCCAACTGCTTGCCACTTTACTTTACCCTTGTATCTTTATCATAGGAACAATTAATAGAGATTTTCCTTTCTAAAATCTTCACTAAGACATACAAATCAAACAGTTACTCTGGGAAACAGGAACCCTTGAAACTCTGTTGTGCGTAGGGGAGGTAGGAAAAAGATCAAGAGATGGGGAAGGAGACTTAGAGAAAAATACTGCTGAAGATATGTTCATTTTTTTTCTCATGATCTACAGAAATGCAAATGCTTCATGGGTGGAGGGGGAGGGAAAGCAGAGATCTAGCTAATCTGTAGACCTAGAAGACTTTGTGTGTGTGTGTGTGTGTGTGTGTGTGTGTGTAAGAGTTCTGTGATTTGCACTGCCATAACACTTCTGCAAAAACAGCTTCACTTAAAACTGTAGTCACTATTAATCATTCTGCTTCTCCTGTGTCTCCTGCAAAGACGGTGTAAGCTCTGAGAAGCAAGCTCCTCAAAGGAAGTCAAGGAGGAAGTACGGGGCCACAGCCATGCTATAGCCACTGGACTCAAATACTGTAAGAACGAGAAGAGCCTTTATAGTATTAAACAAAGCCCTAAAGCAAAGGAGCACAGACAACTTCCTGGTAATCTTCCACTATAAGAAATACAGATCCCCCTCCCATGTAGGGAGCCTGGATTTCATACACTATTGTGCTAAGAGCATCCTCCTCAAGCTCAGAGGACCTACAAAGAAATCTTTACTATGGAAACACTCTCAAAACTAAGTGGTCATTAGCAGTCAGAGTTCAACCTTCTGCATAATTCATTTCAGCCATATGTTACAGGTCATAAACTAGACTTTCAGACAAGCATTATGAGGAGATTTATTTGAAAAAAATTTTGTGTGTGTGTGTGTGTGTGTGTGTGTGTGTAATCCAAAAATATCCTAAGACAAGGAAAGCAATGTTTTATCTTTTATCATATGACGTATAGAGAGACTGGCGCAATCATCTGTCTTGAAGTGTTTCCTTCACAAACCTCCACTTGCAATCATGGAGCTTTTCTGGCTGTTGAAAAAAAAAATCTGCTTGCTAGCAAGAACAAGAACCATCTGATGACATCTTAAATATTATCTAAATTTTCTTCTATTTTTCTATCACTTCATCTTATTTATTCTTTTGCTTTTCCAAGTTAAATGGATTGCTTGGGTGGCTTTGCTCATTAAATATTTAAGAGATCAGTCTATTCCCTATAGTTCGAGAACATATGCATGCTTTCTCTTTCTAACTATGCATCATAAATAATCACACTTAATCCTTCTTCCTGCCATCTTCTGCAATCATCTCCCAGTTACCTAGAACATACGGTACATAAAACTCAGCACAGTGTCCAAGCTGTGATCCCACTAGGGTGGCCAGAGATAAGCTGCGATTTCTCATCACTCTCTTTCAAGAAATGCTGCATCCAAACACATGGCCCCCGGTTCACTGCAGCACTAAAGACATTATATCATTCTCAGACTTAAAAATCCATTAAAAAACATTTTCTTAAAATTAAAAAGCTGTATTTCTTTAGTAGAGGACTATTTTAGTGTGCTGCCTGTTGCTGAGATAAACACCAGGAACAAAAGGGTTTGTTTCAGCTCACAGGTTACAGATTTCCTCCATGATGGAGGGAAGCCAAAGCTGGAGGCAAGAACCAAAACATAGATAACTTACTGCATTCCTTTCCTTGACTTGCTTAACTCCTTTTCTTATATGGCCTATTCCTACCTGTCCAGGGATGGCACTGCCCACAGTGAGCTGGGCCCTCCCACATCCATCAACAGTTAAGAAGACAACCCACAGATATGGCAAAGAATAGTCCAGTAGTTGTTGAGATAGGGTAATTAGAGAAGGCCTCTCAGAAGAGGTGCCATTTGAACCAAGGCCTGTCTGTAGACATACAATTTTGAAGAACTGAGGGTACAATTCCATGTGAAAACTTGTGGAAGAAAACTTCAGAGGGAGCGGTGAGTACATCTTTAAGATACAAACCAGTTTGGCATTATGGAAGAATAATCAGGAGTCATGTTAGTGAAAAGGTTATAGGACATAACGTGAAAGGTCACAGAGGTCACAGTACAGTCTTAAGGGAAATGGCTAAATTAGTTCATAAATGTAGTTGTCAGACAGTGTATGAATAATATCCAATTGTATTTGTGTAAGGAATTAGGTATTGCACACACACACATACACATATTGTTGTAAATATTTAATCTCAGTCTGGGGTTTCTGCCATGCCTTACATCATTCAGTTCTCAGATAAAAGACACACAACTTTTATATTTACAATAGGCCTTAATCAGCACTAAAGCTAGACACATATCTACCCTCTAAGCTATTAGTATCTACTTCCCTATCAACAACCCTGAGTTATAACTTGCCATGTTCCATTTGGACTGTTCTTAACTCCAATTAGCCAGCCCTCATGGGCATGTTTTCATGACTCATCTACCCC